TACATACTTGTGTTGTCATTGATATAAGTCAGTGAGTAAATTGTACTTAATCCCATTTAAGGGTCAACCATAGACCTTTACATGGGCCATTGGGGTCATCTGTACCCTTTTACCTCCTGATGAAGGGCCTGCTCACTTTTCATGTATGAGAACTTCAGATCGAGATGTTCAGGAGATTTTAGTGAGGAGCCAAATTATCCGCAGAGGTCTCTCCCTCTCCAAAATAGACAGACCAGGTGATTTAAACCGCTAAAAACACTTTCACGTTAAAAATCAGTGTTTCTCTGACACTCGTCACAGAAGGGCTGCCAACTACAGTGGCCAACGTGAACATGTGAATGGCCCTATCTGGAGCCAGCGTCTGGTTTGTCCATTCTGGGCTACTGTAGAAACATGCCATTTCAGGGACCTGCTCCCTATGTAAATATAAATGACTCATTCTAAGGTAAAGAAAACACAATGATTCTTATTTTCAGATGATTTTCCCCCTCAAGAAAACATACTTATTATATTATATTCCATCTCTGCTAATATATCCCCCTAAATCCTACACACTGGACCTTTAATATGACACATTAACAAGACCCTCCAATTGGTTTTATGCTCTCAGTAATGTATATTTCCCTGGGTCAACATGTTGAAACCCCCACCTGCATCTTATAGCCTACTGCTGTTATAATCCTTGAAACCTATGCCCTTACATTTGAGGGCAGGACAGTTTTCTTTTGTTTCTTTAGACAGTGATACCTTCACAGTGGCTGAATGGATATTTGACATTCAAACTGCATTGGAAACGTCCATCTCTCTTAATTAATTTGCAATTTGATGTACAAAGATAGCCTGTACTGATCTCTTAGTTTATATCAAGAGACATGGGACCCTGTAAACATTGCGATGACCCTTTCTAACCTTTTAAAGGTTTAAGAACTAGTTTTATTTTACAGTATTATTCACTAATAGCACTATAGGGAAACTTGTGTGAACAATACAGTGGGTTTCTGCTATCCACAGCTACCTCCCCACTCAAAGTCATGCAGTGACACTTACCTCGTTTCCTCTTTTGATCTTGCCCTTCATCACCGGAGCTGTATCGCGGGGGTCGGCTCGCCGGCTGCCTTGGCACGACCACACCCGCTTGCACCTTGGCCTTGTAGTCGGCAGTGAGTCTCCTCAGACTTGCAACAAGTTCAGGGCGGTCTCGCTTGAAGTTTGGGTTGTAAAAATGATGAAACAGTGAATGGCCCCCGGCGCCTGTATCAGCTGCTTCCGCTTTCCTGAAGCCGTACAGATTGAGCTGGCGGACAAAGCTGGAGAAGTTGGTCGTCTTGAAAGCGTCGGCGCTGTCCGAGGAGACGGTGGACGGACACAGGACCTGTCTCTCGAAGAGATCCTGGTCAATGACGACCAATTGTCCGTATTTGTCCCAGAAGATGGCTTCATTCAGCGGGTTGTTCACCAAACGCCAGAGTTTGGCAGGGAAGTTACTGGGGTTGACGCAACTAGGGAGTAAACTTCCACCAATATCCATGTTTTTATCTGTAAAGTTAGAAGTAAAAACTGAGGTAAAGCTGGTGAACACAGCGCGCCCCCTCATCTTAATATCACACCAACCGTCATCAGTTAGTAAGCTAATGCTAATCCACCTTTAGCACCAGTTAGAACTAAGATAGACTGCACTTATACCAATAAGTAGGAGCAACTTAGTTACAAAATATAACAAATTGAAAACTCATACGAAGTTAACCCAATATAACGTAAGGATAGTGTTAACTTCCAAAAAATAAATACTGTAAATTGTTAGTTGTGCCCAAGACACAAAAGCTGAAAATGCTAACGCTAACTTCTAACGTTACGGTTAGCTAGCATTAGCTTGTTAGGCTAACGTTGACATTAGCTCACCAGTTAGCTGCTGTATTTGAAGCTATTTTGAGTTAAGTAAAGTAGTCTGCGCTAAGTAAAGTTGCATAAAATTATTTAGATATAATGCTAGCTTTGCATATTTTTTGAGTCATTCTACACGCGGAAGAAAGAAGATATCTTAAGTCTTACCTGGATCATCAAAGATGTCTCTGCTGTTCTCAGAACCGTTGGAGCTGTTGGAGTTTCTAAACGTTTCATCTGATACCAACTGTCAGGATTCTGTAACGGCCTTCTGCTAGAGAGGACACTTTATGACCTTCTGCAGCAGGTTTGTGTGTCTTTATTTTATTCTATTTTTTGTTTAATTTTTAACGGCAAGGAATTGCTTTCCAAATATTACTGTAATAACTCTCAATGACTTGTGTGTCTCTTAGGACAAATCTGTGGTGGGAAAACTATTCAAGTCCACTGCTACAATTTTTAGCCATTTCAATGTTTTTATTTGTCTTTAGGCATGGAAAAAATGTTTATTTAAACATGCAGTTTGGAAGAAGTTTTTCACATTTCCACTCAGATGGACAGCATCCATGTAAATTTTGACTGAAAAATATAAACCAATGAGAAAATTGATATATATCATGTGAGACTACAAAAATATATTTTAAATGCTGTAAACCCTTTGAAACCTGAGCAAGTTGGCTTGGTGTCTTTCAAAAATATGGGAAGAAGTTAATGAACAACAAAAGAAGAAATAACCCCCCAAAAACCCAACAAGAAATAAGTAAAAAGAGAACATTTTAAACGAGAATATTATTTAAAAAACAAAAAAACAAACAAGGAAATGACCTGCTGGAAAAGTGAAAAAAAATCTAATAATTCTGTAACAAAATTTTAATATAAAATAATGATAATTATAAATATATTTATTCCCTAGCCTTTTAAAAATAATTTTCTAAATCTAGTTATTTTTTGCAATTTGTGGAACATTTCTTACCAAGTTGCTCACTGCCTTTTTTTACCCATGTTTTTGAAAGAAATTGCACCAATTTGCTCAGGGTTAAAGGCTTTAATACTGAGGCATCCGAAAGCAGCATAAGAAAAGCAATGTTGCTCCAGGCCTCAAAAGGTTAAACTAGCGTGTTCACATATTTTAAAGGAGCGATATGTAAGAAATCTAAAGCAAACAGTCGTAAAATCCTCCCTAATATGTCACAGAGACTAAGGAATAATGTTCATATAACATACTGATCTCACCGACAACAACAGTACAGCCAGAATATGTGCATCTAAAAAAATGTTTTGCAGTCTGCAAATCGTGTTTACATTTTGAATTTGTGTTTTGGCCTGTTGCGCCACCCACCGCTGTCTACCAGTCACACAGTCAGTAGAGTCTCAGCATCAGTTACAGTTATGACTGAGCTACAGCAGCACGGCAAGCAGCATTAGCAGCGTCCCGGTACATAACATTGCCACAGCAGCCGCGCGTGGGCAAACAAATCAGTCTCCAGCTTGCCCTTCTGTAGGGGAGGGGGGGCGGACACGACTCACGGCAGTATTTTGAATTTGAGTGCAGTAACCATTTTGGCCACATTCTTACATACAGCGCATTTAAGATAATCTAATACTGTGTAATGCAATGCAAAAACGTTTAAACTTGTGTCTGACTCCTCAGCTTCTCCACTCTCTTTTTTTTACTCCTCCCTCCTGCGCCTCCCTTCCACATCCAGCTCATTCCTAAAGGCTATATAACTTTTGAGCATGAACATTTTCTAAAAAAATATATATATTATACAAATATTGTTCCTGTTACAAAAACTGTAAAATACATTCTAGTATCAGAAATCAATTGATTTACAACCAAAAAAGTCTTTTAATTTCTCCAAGCCATTTGGGATCAGTAGGACCCAATAAGTATAAAAAACTAACCATTATCAATGATAATTAACTCCTAATGTCCTAAAACGCAACAATAATTAAGTACCAAAGTCCTCAAACAGGACAACAATAATGTCCCAATGTGTAGTGTAACAACTTGTTACTTTTGCTAAAATTGGTTAAATTCGTTGCCATATTAAAATCACAGACATTATTAATCATAAATAAACAAGTTCTGCACGTTGTCCACTTTTGTGTCAGCTGCAGGCCAATACAGCAGAGATTTCTGCCATCTTGTTTTTACAGGGATTAGTGTATTGTGCTCTTACTACCGCTAGATGGAATAATATGTGTCCACGAGTGAGGACAACAGGTCTGAGTTATGTAGAATTAAGTCTAAGGTCAAGTAAACCCAGAAAGTGATGTCCTTATATGAGTACAAAGGGTCTCAGGAGGGTATAGTTTTATTTGTAGTTGAAATACACCCGTGATGCATGATGTACAGATGAATAATTGGCCAATATAATTGGAAATTTTAACAACTGCTCCTTAGGTGTTACTCTGTGTTACCAAATGTAATTTACCCAAAGGGTCTCCTATGATAAAAGGAATGGCAAGATATTCTTGAGCTGCACATTTCTTGCACACCATCGGCTGTCTTGGTTTTGAGAGATTTGTATTGCACTAACAACACCTGGCCAGTGGGTGGCAATGTATGGCATAACGCACGTGGGTCCAATGTAGTGTCATAAATGCAACTACAGCATCAAAACCTATGTATAACACAAATAATGTAACATAGCCCAAGAAAAAAATGTTTTGATGTACATGCATGACCATATCAGGATCAGGAGTGTACACATGTAAGGAATTTATTTGTTTGTTTTTCATTGCTCTCATGTACATACATAGAAATAGACATACCAAGGACAACAAAACTGAACGTATAAAGGTAAGGAATGACACAAGCTTATGCCTTTAAATAAATACATATTTATATAAATAAATAATTAAAAAAGAACCAATGACTATTAGTACGTGTAAAATATAACGTCTGTGTACTAGTCATAAAATAACAATCATGGTTTACTCAAGACAAGTTTCTTGACAAAGTGAAATAGATATACAATTTTTATATATACAAAGTGAATAAATAAATCTAAGTATAATCCCTATGACTGAAATAATTGTTTTATATGACGGAGATATGAACATTTTTGTTCAGGCGTATAACAAGGACCCCTGTGCGCTGGTCCTTTCACTGGGTCTTCACAGCCAGAGACGTCATTCTCCAGCGACTGGAACATTCAAAATATTTAGCAGCTTGGTATTTCAGTATTAACATTGGTATTTTTGTAGGAGTTTAACACAATGGCGTTGGAAACGGTCCCTAAAGACCTCCGCCATCTTCGGGCCTGTCTTCTTTGTTCTCTTGTGAAGGTAAACTGCGACACAGGGAGGAAGAAACGCTCAGTTAGCTTCTATGCTAACATTTAGCATCGTTACTGCGCTGTGTTTCTTATGTTGTGTCTTAAAAAAGCTTAAAAACGTTTAAGTAACGCTTCCATACCGGTGCTTATTTACCGAATAACACTTAAAGACCGAGTGAACCCCGCTGTACTTGTTTATAATGAGGCATTTGATCCGTTTGGTCGTCTTCTAACAAGCCCCGTTTGTTTGGTTAAACTCAAAATGCTAACACACATTTGACGAGCTAACCCTTGTTAGAAAGGTTAAAAGTGGCTTACTTTACATTTCCGTATTCATTCTTCTTCACTCTTCGTCTCCTCTCTTTCAGACCATTGACCAGTTTGAATACGACGGATGTGACAACTGTGAGTCGTACCTTCAGATGAAGGGAAACCGAGAGATGGTTTATGAATGCACAAGTTCCTCATTTGACGGGTAAGCATGGATTATTTTAAAAATCTGTCACAGGTAACTTTCATATCTGTTGAACTGCCTTCTTAATGTTTACCAATATCTGTGTGTCCACAGAGTGATAGCTATGATGAGCCCTGAGGACAGCTGGGTGGCTAAATGGCAGAGGATAGGTAAGTTTCAATGTATGTCTGTGTTAAAGGAACAGTGTGTAAGATTTTGGGAGATCTAGTGGCAGGCACGGCAGGCTTCTAGCAGTGAGGACTGCATATTGAAATCAGCTGAAACTTGTCTTGTTTAGAGTTCTTTCAGTGTACATTGTTCAGGAGTTTTTTTTTACTGGGAGCTGGATTATCCGCAGAGGTCTCTTCCTCTCCAGAACAAATGGATAAGGTGATTAAAAGTGATTAAAACACAGAATGAAGCAGTTCCATTTGAAGAAAATCAGTGTCTCTGGCGCTGTTTGGTTTGTTGCAGATGGCCCGTGGGCCTAGCACCATGTGTGCTCATGTTTCAACCCTGATAATTTAAACTCTAGGGGTCTCATTTATAGACATTGCGTATGCTCAAAACAACCCACTCTCCACTCACTCTAGGCGAGTATTAGGGTTGGGTACCATTCATAATTGAACCGATACAGTACCGGCACCGATATCTGGAATTCGGTACCAGTACCAAACGGTACCTTATTTCGGTACTCTTTAAAGTCTAAACTTCTCAGTTTCAACATTTTATTGAGACCATTTAGGAACAGTGTTGCACGTTAACTTTTGTCTGCACAGTTTTTTTTGTCGCCATTGTGGCTGAGTCTGAGGTGCGAGTCATGCGCTCTTGCTCCGCCTCCACCTCAGTTACCGAAATTTGGCACCGATTCATTTTAAGTGAATTGGTACATGGAAGTACCGACGTGAATCGGTACCAAGTACAAAAAGTACCGAGTTTCGGTACCCAACCCTAGCGAGTATGACATTGAGTACGTTGAGAACTTCACGTACTTTGGCAATAACATCTTGAGTAAAGGAGACGTGGAGAAAGACGAACAAGATTTGGCAAAGGTGCAGGAGTGGACATGTACTCCGACTGCCAAGAGAGAGACCAGCGAGTGTGGCAATAGACTGGGTGCTTGAGGGCGGCAAGAGGAAGAGAGGGAGGCCAAAGAAGACTTGGAGACAGACGCTCAAGGAAGACCTAAGCGAGATGGGTGTCAGCTGGCATGATGCAAGGAGGGTCGCCAGGGACCGGAGCAAGTTGAAGGGACTCGTTGCCCAATGTTCCAATAGGAACGGGAGGATCTAAGTCTAAGTATGCTCAAAACAAGGCCTAAAAGAGGTGTACGCCACTTCCCACGTAAAAGTTGTCATCTAAAAAAAAAACAACCAGACCTGATGGGAGAAACTTTGACACATGCTTACAAACATTTTTGGGAAATTTGCGATGCAGATTGGTGAGGTAGAAGCCTGAGTGTCCTCCATACATTTTTAGTACGTACGCTACGAGCTGTTTTCCAAACGAGACCCCTCATGTCCAGGAGGTTTTTACTGGGAGCTGAACTATCCTCAGAGGTCTCCTCTTCTTCAGAACAAATAAAGTAGATGGGGTAAAAACACTGAATGAAGCCGTTTCATGTTAAACAAAAAAAAATTGTTTCTCTGACGCTGCATGCGTGGAGGGGCTGTTTACTATGGTGGCCAGTGATTGGTTTATCTGCTCAGTGCTACTGTAGAAACATCGCGATGCAACATGGTGATCTCAGTGGACGAGGACCTGCTCCCTATGTAGATATAAACGGCTCATTCTAAGCTAATAAAAACACAAAAATTCTCATTTTTAAGTTATTATACACTAAAGGAAACATACTTATTATATTATACTCCATTTCTGCTGATGTATCCCCCTAAATCCTAAACACTGGAACTTTAAAAGCTACATTAATGTATTTTTGAGCATGAGGGAGCAGTGGAGGTTTAAACAAGCTAAGAGACAGACAGGGACCCCGCGGATAACTCTCTGTGGATTTATTACTCAGTATGATGTCAATAAGGAGCCGATGTACTTTACACGTAGTAATTAGTCAACATAAATGCTCTTGACAACAATCTTTATCACATCCTTGTGCAAACACTTTTTAAAATACTGGTTCATGTCATTTTCAGTTTGAATAACTTTGTGAATAATAACATTTGTGTATATTTTCTTGTCCTTCAGGCAACTTCAAGCCCGGTGTATACGCAGTGTCAGTGACCGGCAGATTACCTCCAGGTACCACTTTTCTAACTGCACTGCTTCAATATGTCGCAAATCACACGCACTTAAAAACCTTATGTTTGGCTTTGTCTAGTCTGGGATTCCTTTCTTATTAGTTAATTTTTTTTAATTTTTTTTTAAAAAGGGACAGTAAAAATGATTAAATACACATGGTAAAAAAAAAAAAAGCTAGAATTAGCCAAGTGGCTATTTTTCATCTGTAGTTTTGCATCAAGTCTCTCCTGCTGTTTGTTACTAACCATTTTCTGTTTTTCTCTGAAGGTGTGGTGAGAGAGCTGAAAAGCAGAGGAGTGATCTACAAATCCAGAGACACAGCAGTGAAGACATGAGTCTGACTGCTTCCAGCGGTCTGATTCACCACTGCAGAGCAGTGAACTCCAGGAACAAGAAACACCAGTGGGACTAAATTTGATCGTGTCTGTGATGTTTTATGGAGCTGTCCTTCAACTGTTAGTTTCTGTTTGTTGTCATGATTAGAGATATCAGCATGAGTGCTTATAGGGAAGAGGAACTGTGGGTATTTTTTATTTCTTTGAATGATTGAGAAAATAAAGGTCTGTTTTTATAGGAAGTCTCATCCAGTCTTCTTTTTCTAAGCAAGCACTCGCAGAGTCTCAAAGCAGTGCTAAAGATGATACAGTTGGTATCAGAAAATGACCCTTAAAGTAGCTCCCTCTATTCCCAGAAAGAACTAACAAACAAAACAAGCCTGTCGAGGGTCCACAGTGTACAAATCACGTGCACATTAATCAAACTAATTTCCACAGTACAACAGATTGGTGTATGGAGCGAGGTCAGTCCGCTCTTGGAAAAGAAGCACAGTGAGACAAATCATCTTTTTCTGTTATAAGTGTTACAGGTAAGTATAAAGGTTAGTATACAAGGTCCAGTGCAGAGGTAGGCTTTATGTAGGAATATGGTTATTAGAGTGAGTCAGGTTAATCTATATTTTACCAACAGGTATGTGCAAGTATAAAGTTAAAAGATTTGTAACATCAGAAACACGGACTTTCACACAGAAGAGCCTGACTCATTTTGACATAAAGAAATAAAATGTTTGCGGCAATTAAATCTTCACAATTTCAAAATTAAGATGAATGACTCTCAAGGCTTAATATTTATATTATTGATTATAAGACATTTTAAGAGTTTTAAGGGACCTGCAGACACCCTGTGCTACTTAGCGAAAGCTAGCAACTCTATAGCACTTTTCATACAAACATGCAGCCCAAAGTTCTTCACATAAAAACAAAAAATAAAAGGAATAAAAAATAAAATTTTGCAAGAAATAAAAATTACAAAAAAACATGTTAAAAATAAATAAAAGTCAAATGAATAAAATAAACATCAGGGATAATAATAATAATGCAAAAATCTCATGATTAAAACTTAAAACATGCAACCCAAAGTTTTTCACATAGAAACAAAAAATAAAAAGAATTTGAAAAAAAAATTGCAAAAAATAAAACAATAAAATGTAAAAAGTCAAACAAATAAAATGTAAAAAAAAAGTCAAACGAATAAAACAAACATCAGAAATAAAATGTAATGTAAAAATCTTGTGATTACATGCAACCCAAAGTTCTTCACACTGAAACAAAAAATAAAAACAATAAAAAAAAATTGCAAGAATAAAAATGACAAAAAATAAAACAATAAAATGCAAAAAAAGGTCAAGTAAATAAAATAAAATGAACACCAGTGATAAAAAATAATGTAAAATTCTCATGATTAAAATTTAAAACCTACAACCCAAAGTTCTTCATATTGAAACAAAAAATAGAAATTAAAAAATGAACATTTTTTGCAAAAATAAAAATGACAAAATCTAAAACAATAAAATGTTAAAAAAAAGTCAAATGAATAAAATTAAATAAACACCAGGGATAAAAATAATGTAGAAATCTCATGATTAAAACTTAAAACCTACAACCCAAAGTTCTTCATATTGAAACAAAAAATAGAAATTAAAAAATGAACATTTTTTGCAAAAATAAAAATGACAAAAACTAAAACAATAATTTTTTAAAAAAAAAAAGTCAAATGAATAAAATTAAATAAACACCAGGGATAAAAAATAATGTAGAAACCCACTATTAAAACATAAAACTAAGGCTACAATGTTATTTAAAGCAAGACTGTGACTATGGTCAACATTTCCTGCTAAACATCAGCATGATCATTATGAGCAATGACATGTTAGCATGCTGACACTAACATTCAGCGCAAAGCCCTGCTGTACTGCTTTACTGAGCCTCCAGCACAACTGAAGAGTGTTATATTCTATTCATGTTCATATCATTGACTCATCAGTATTCATCATATTCACAGAGAAATCACAGCAGTCTGTTTCTAGCAGCTGATCTGAAACACCAGAGAGGAGGAACTGAACAGTTCTTTCATTTCACTTTAATGAAACATCCCTGCACTTTTTTATTTGGGTCACAAGATGGTGCTTTCCACTGAAGGCTGGATTTACACACAGTACCAAACATTACCAGCAGGGGGAACTATCAGTCAAACCATTAGTCGTGTAGCTGCAATCTCTGTCTTAAACAGTTTCTCCAGTAAAGTGTTTTCCAGTTTGTGTCACTGCTGCTGCCGCAGCTGCTTCACTGTGCAATAATGTGACACTTGAGCTTTGTAGGTTGTCATCCTGCTCTGCTGTGTGTATCAGGTACTCTGTTCAGCTGGAGCTGATGTTACTGTTTATTGCCGGAGGGTCTGGGCATTGTCTGGTGTCACTGTAACCTGATGGATTGAGGTCACAAACAGAGAGGATGCTTTTATTCTGTGGCAGTGAGCACAATTAACTCTTACTGTGGACTTATTAGATGAGGGCGTCGTTGCACAGGCACCTGGTGCTGATATTTAGTTACAGAGGCACAGCTAGTGAGACAAATAATAATACTGAGGTTAATTGTTTAGTACTCAGGGTCCATATTATTTTAAAATACATACTAGCTAAATATTGTCCAAGATATGGAGCACAGATGCACAAGAAAGCTCTGCCTTGTGCCTTAACACCAAAAAAACAAGCACATATATATTCACAGTGGGGCATTTAAATACAGTAAAATAACATGAAGTGAAAACAGCATATATCTGTAATGTGACATACAGGAAAGTTGTTCCAGTTTCATGTGTGCAGGGACATTTCTCACTTTCTTCTGCACACTATTACAATGGTTCTTGGAGGGAGAGATACGAGAAAGACGTGAAATGATGTGCAACATCTGCCGTGACCTAAAATCGACTTATTTTTTACTATAATAAGCAAGATAAGTAAGTAAATAAATGTTAATATATCAGGGTGTTTTTCAACCTAGACTATATTTTCCCATGGATTTGTGTCTAAGTGACTAATGGGAACAACAATTTTTTAACTGTTCCACATGGCAGCGATGACACAGGCTGCAGGCTTCATTTTACGTCCACTGAAAGTGCTTGTTTTTGCCACTGACAGGCTTATATTGCTATTTTAATTGTCTGACAACGTTATGAAAAGGATCCCTACAGAGACAGACCTTTTTGTTGAAGAGTAAGATCTTTTTGTTCAACTTCAAACAGCCCAGAAGACGCCACCAGACTCCAAACATCTTGGTGTGTCTTTCCACTGTCCCAACAATCACCAACTCTGGTTTGGTTGAAATAAACCCTTAATTCACCCAGTTAGATGTGAAAATATGCTGATTCTATACATGCTTAAATTATTGTTTATTTAAATGGAGTCTGGTGGGTTTGGCGATGGCAATTATGGGGCTGTTTCTGGTTGAACATAAAGGATCTTACTCTTCAACAAAGGGGTCTATCTCTGTAGGGATCCTTCCCATAATGTTGTCAGACATTTATAATAATCTGAGCCTGTCAGGTGCAAAAATACGCAATTTTAGTAGACATAAAATGATGGAGTGCTCTTGGGCCTGTTCTGCCGCTGCCAGCTGCAGCACTCTGGCTAATTACTGGACCAGTTTTAAAAACTCTTGTTCCCATTAGTCACTTAGACACAAAAACATGAAGAAATGTTCCAGGCTGGAAAATACCTACCTCACCCTTTAATGCATCTATTTTTAATGATGATGTAATCAGTACTTCTTATATAAGTTATCTCTGCGATGAAACATTCAAATATACTGCGGCTAAGTGACATGCTGAATAATTCTGCCTCCTCCTACAACAGCACTGACTTCATGAGGTGTCTCATACTGCAGGATGTGTAGAAGTGGAACATGTATATTTGTCACATGGTCCCTTTGAAGGCCGAAACTACGTTTCCTCTCGAAGCAGATTGTTCACAGTGTGTCAGGACTCTTCAGTGGAAACACTCCTTTTAAGTTTTCAGCAGTTATCTGCATGAACAGATCAGAGGCTCAGTCACTGTAAACAGTGATGCTTCACTGCAAATAAAATTCTGACAAAGATCAGATTGATGAGTTTTTAGGAAACTACAATAAACAAAAATTTAAATGCAACACTTTCATTTTTGCCGCCAGTTTTCACAGGTTAAATTTGTTGCAGGTTGATTCAAACTCGTGTCACATATACTCCAGAGAATCAGCCAGTATCTGGTGTGATACCATTTGCCTCACGCAGTGTGACACATCTCTTTCACAGAGTCGTTGAGGCCTGTGGAGTGTCGGCCCTCTCCTCTTCACAGCTGTGTGAAGATGCTAGATATTGGCAGGAATTGGAACACACTGTCGTACATGCTGATCCAGAGCATCCCGAACGTGCTCAGTGGGTGACATGTCTGGCGCAGGCCATGCAAGAACAGGGATGTTTTCAGCTTCCGGGAGTTGTGTACAGATCCTTGCAACATGGGGCGACATGAGGTCATGACAATGGGCCTCAGGGTCGTGTCACAGTATCTCTGCGTTCAACCTGCCATCAGTAAAATATTTGTCCATAGTTTACGATAGTCCAGCCCATAACCAAAACTGCTCACCTGCTTGACGCCATACACGCCGTCTGCCATTTGCCCAGTACAGTGTAAACCAAGATTCATCTGTAAAGATATAACTTCTCCAAACTGCCAGATGCCATCAAGGGTGAGCAGCTGCCTACTCAAATCGGTTACGATGACAAACTGCTGTCAGACCTCGGAGGTCCTGGTTGTGGAGGTCCTGAGCTGGTGTAGTTACATGTGGTCTGCGGTTGTGTGGCTGGTTGGATGTAGTGCCAAATGAATGGAAACAACATTGGAGACAGCTTATGGTGGTGAAATGAAAATTCAGCTCACAGGCAACAGCTCTGGTGGATATTCCTGCAGTCAGCATGCCAATGGCACGCTCCCTCAAAACTTTTTTTATAGTGGCCTTTTACTGTGACCATCCTGAAGCACACCTGTGTAGTAATGATGCTGTTTAATGAGCACCTTGATGTGCCACTTGGAAAAGGAGAGGCGCTCACTAACACGTGTGAACACGTAAATTTATCTACTGAGTACAAGTCTTGGCTCTGTATCTTAAACCTGTGTTGCATTTAAATTTTGTTCATTGTAGCTCTCATACAGGATTCTAAGCCCTGAGAAACAATTTTTAATTTAACAGTTAAAAATGGATAATTTTTAAG